AATGAGCACAGGCTTTGCTGCCTGTTCCCCACATAGTTCAGCCATTTTTACCATTTTTAGTTAATTTGTCTCTCTTCCTTGTCCCACACCCAGCTCTCACAGTATACCTTGCTGTCGTGAACTGAAAAATTCCCCGTTGCACCTGGATAATGCCCTGTGCATCCTGATCTGATCCCATAGCTGCAATATGATCCTTCTGGTCCTTTCCAACCTGAATTATCCCATGATCCTATGAACTCTTCTTGGTTTTCTTCATTATATAAAAGTCTGCATTCTCTAGGCTACTTTATTAATCAGTCTTTGTACCAAATAGCTGTGATTTATTGCATTGTCATAACTTTACCTCCACAATACAAGATTATTTTAGATAAAAAAGGCAACCAAGCATACATCCCATAAAACAGTAAAATATAGCCATGGTTGTTATTACACGAAATGAGGCCATAGCAATTCTGCATAAAACAGGAATTTGTTCCAGGTGCTCTTCATAGGCTTCCCTTCCAAGAATATGGAAATGCTAACTCAACAGCTAAGGAAATTTGGTTTCTTTTCCTTCTCTGTAAACTGGGTCCTGACTCTACATCCTGCAAGCTGTGGCAGGGTGCCAACAGACAGGATGCCCATTATGTGACCAGGGGCTTGCTCTGCCCAGGGTGATGCTCACTGGTTTCCAGTGCTGCTCCAGCACTGAGACTCCTCCACATTATGGCAGGGATCAAAGTGTTCCTTTCAGTTCTGAACAGCAGAAGAGACCAAAGCCACCTTTCCTGTTCCTCCTCCTCAAACTTCTGAGAACACAGGTTAACAGCATGCAACTTCCTTCACATAATTCAATGACAGTGGAAAAAATATGCTGAAAGACACTGAGTCATTCTGGAGTACAACCTATCTTCTCAGTGTATTTTTTTGTCTCCTAACAAACAGGCAACCCGAACATACTTCATCTTCTGTCAGAGGTCAGTGAGGCACTGGTTAAGAAGCCCTGCACAGGAGTGAAAGGCTTGCTTCTGTAATCTTACCCTCAACATCTATTTGTGCATAACCTCCACCGTGCATTTGGAGTATCCCTTTCAAACTGTTTTTGTTTCTCAATTCAAATCAAAATCAATTTTCACTAGAACACATAATGACCTTTCTGTTATTTCTTTCAGTGAAATATTACTTCAATACTACTACTTCTTCAAAAACACATTTCTTAGCTACTAAAAATGTATTTTCTTTTCTTTTGTTTCCATTTTTTTTTTTTTTTTTTTTTTGTCCTCAACCCTCCTGGACCCACAAACAGTCTCTTGAGGATCCCTATTTCAAGGATGGGAAAACTTCTGCTACATAAAAATATGTGATTCCCAGCAATATACACCTTGGAAATTTTCTGTTCCAAACAATATCTTAGAACGGAGGAGCAGCCCAGAAGAGGTGTTTTGCATGAATGTATATGGACAGCTTGAGAAATTGTCACCTCTCGTTATATGCTTTTCATTGCCCCGTAGGATTTTATTCAGTTTCTACATATGTACTCTTTCACATCACTCCTACCCCTCTCTCTGAGGCTTTTTTCTTCATAGAATCACAGAACCACTTGAGTTGGAAGGGACCCTTAGAAGTCATCTAGTCCAACTCCCCTGCTACAAACAAGGGCACCTACAGCTGTATCAAGTTGCTCAGAGCCCCATCCAGCCTGACCTTATGTGTCTCAAGGGACGGGGCATCGGCCACCTCTCTGGGCAACCTGTTCCAATGCCCCAATAGCCTTATCATTAAAAAAACCCCAAAACTTCTTCCTTATTTCCAATCCAATCTGTCCTCTTTTTAAACCATTTCCCCTTCTATCTCAACAGACCCTACTAAAGAGACTGACCCTTCTTTCTTATAGACCCCACTTTAGATACTGGAAGGCTGCTATGAGGTCTTCACGGAGCCTTCTCTTCTCCAGGCTGAACAGTCCCAGCTCTTTCAGCTTGTCCTTGCTGGGGAGGCATTCCATCCCTTGGATGATTTTTTCCCTCCCATCTCTTCCAAAGTTTTCTGTTCCTTGCTTTTAGTCAAATTTCTCAAATCTATAGTTTGATTCCCAAAGGTCATTTCTGTTTATTCTTGCCAGCTGTAGGCCTTGCCCTTTGTGGAAAATAAGAGCTGGTGGTATCAGGGAACTGCTAGACCAGTCCTATTGCAGAAGGCATCCAGGAAGAGTAGTGAGCAACCAATTGGGGTAAATCACAAGCTCACCATGGCAAAAACATGGAGAAATCAGGTGAGGTTCCTGTGGGTTAAGCACTGGATAGCAGGAGTCTGCAGGGACGAAGTGCAAAAAGCTGATGCAGAAAATAAACCTTAACTAGTGATAGCATCACAAGTAACATGAAATCATTCAGTAAGTACGGCAGTGGGGAGAGGAAGTCAAAAGAAAGTGAATTAGTCATCAGAGACAAAGCTATTGACTGATGCTGGGAAGGCTCAGAGTGCCTAATGCCTTCTGCGCACCAGGCTTTGCTAAGAGAGGTCACTTGTGATTAGGTGATTGCCATTACACATAGCAGTGACAAAGGAAAAGGAAAGAAGAAAGTACAAAAGCATTCCAGCAAGTTGGAGGTGTTCGAGTCAACACGCTGGCCTGGCTGTGGGTAAGGGTGCTGAAAGGAGTGGCTCTGGAAAGGCTGGAAACATTACTGTCCAACCCTGGGAGCTTGGGAAGGGCAACTGAGGAATGTGCTGATGGAAAAGCACGAGTGGGGCCTTTCTGTGGAAGGGCTCTTTAAAAACACAGAGAGCAGGCAGCCATTTTCTTCCCAGTACTAACAGGAAAATCCATTGCAAACAGCCAGGAGGGTCAAGCTGACCAAATTGCCCTTGACAGCAGCAGAACGGACCTTGTTGTGGAAGAATGGAGTGACCTTAGTTAGGTTCTGCACCTCTATTCATAAATTAAGTTCGGTTTATGTGAAAATGTCAGGTAGTGTTCATGGAACTCTGATGCCAGCAGTTATTGGTCATTACCTGGCAATCGAGTGGATTACAAATGCATTTCCAAAGGGGTCTGTTTCATTAGCAGCCTCCACAGGCAGCATTAACTGGGGAGTGACCAGAAGAGGATGAATTGGGAATTAAAAGCAATCTATAGAAATGCAACTGGAAGTGACAGGAGGCAGCACTATTGCAGGGGGGTTCAGCAGGCTGAGGCCTACATGAGCCAGCAGGCTGAGCTACATGAGGGCAACAGGGAGCCATGAGGCAGCAGGGTTGTGATAGTGTGCACTAACAGTCATGGAGAAGGGCGGGGACTTCCTGGGAATCAGCTGTTGAGTAGGGAAATGTGGAATCAGATGGGATGGCAAAGTGTGTGAGGAGCAGGGTGGGGGGCTGCCCGATGCAGGAGGCCACAGGGACTGAGTCCTGCAAGCCGTGCTGAGGGAAGCCATGCAGACAGGATCAGAGCCACTGGTAAAGCCTCATGGTGCCCTTCATACGAAAGGAGCTGAGGGGAACGAGATCCGAGGAGTTAATGATGCACCGTAACTCATTTGCAGAGACCAGATCAGATAAATACGGTTGTCCACCACAGACCTGCTCTTCCATTCACATTCAGTGAAGATGCCATTTCTCTACTAATGCACTCATGTATTTTCTGCTCACTAACCACGTTCCTGTGTACGAGCACCTATTGATCTGCAGTCTCTGCTTCTCTTCTTCCATAGAAAGAAACAACTGCATAGCTCATCACGCACAGGCTGAAGCACTTACATGCCCAAGCGGGATCAGCCAAACACAAAAGTAACCTTCACCAATCCGAAATGCCTACGTTACAATTAACGGGAGGCACTCACGCGATTAGTTGAAGCTCGCACCGACCCGAAGACACGCAGACCCGCCCTCGCCCCGCTTCTACTCCCCGAAGCGCCCCTGGCCCCGCAGCCCTAACCCCCCTCAGCCGCTCCTCCTCCTGCAGCGCAGCCAACCGCAGCCGCACTGCATTAGTAAAGGCGCACAGCGTAAATAATTGATCCGCGCAGCGCCGCGGGCCCGCCGCTCCCAGCCCTCTGCCTTTAGCGGGGCGGTGCGGGGCCGCCCCGGGCGGCGGGTCCCCGCGGGGAGCCGGGCCGGCGGCGCGGCGGGAGCAGGTGCGGCTGCCCGGCGCGGCGGGGGCGGAGCGGAGGACGGGCCGGCAGGTGGGGGCTGCCGGGAGGCGGAGGCGGACGGCCGGGCGGCCGGGCTCGGCGCGGGGCGGCTGGGCGAGTGGCCGAGGCAAGGAGAGAGGCGGGCGGCGGCGGCGCTCCCGCAGCCCGGGCCGCGGAGAGGCCGGCGGGGCCGCCCGCTGCTGCTGCGGAGCCAGATGTGCGGGACGGGAGGCGGCCAGGGGCCCGCGGGGGGGTGCTGGGGGCTGCCGCCGCCGCTGCTGCCGCGGCCGGGGGGGGCCCTTTAGCTGGGAGCCGGGCAGCCGCATCGGGAGCTGCTGTTTTCTTCCCCTCCTTCCTTTGCTTTCTTCTCCTCCCTCCTCCTCCTCCTCACCAAAACCGGGAGAGGAGGCGTGTTCGCAGAGCCTTGCTGCACCGGTTTTGCTTGGTTCGCTGTTGCCGGGTTTGGTTCGCGGGGTGATTGGGCTGCGGGATTTTTTGTGTGCTTTCTTCGTTGTTGTTATTTTTTTTTCCTTTTTTTCTTTCCCTCTTCCCTTTCCCGTGGCCCATCGCATGCTCGGCTCCGGCTGGATCCTTCCCTTTATTTTCGGCGGTGCCGCTTGGAGGGGGGAAGGGAGCGCGGGGATGAGTGCCGCCTGACGCACGGGCACGGCGAGGGGGGCCCGCCGCCAGCCGCAGCCCTCCGCGCCCGCAGGGCGAGGGGCTCGCCGCCGCCTTCCCCTCTGCTCGCCCCGCTCCGCCGCAAGGTGTGCGTGCGCGGACGGCACAAGAAGGAGGAGGAGGAAAAGCCGCCCTCCGCCTCGCCGGCAGCCGCCGGGCGCCAAGGCTGCCGCCGTGCCCCCCCCTATGTGAGGCCCCCCGGGCGGCCGCATGGCGATAGAGCGGCGCCGCGAGGCGGGCGGCGGGGGCCGGCCGCTGCCCGAGGAGAACGGCTCCGTGCCGGGCGCCACCGCTCCCCCCCCGGGGCAGCCCCCCGCCGGGGCCGCCGAGATCCAGGCGGTGCCGCCGCCCGCCGCCTCTTGCAGCCCTCTGCTGCTCGACTACGACGGCTCGGTGCTGCCCTTCCTCGGGGGGCTGGGCGGCGGGTACCAGCGCACCCTGGTGCTGCTCACCTGGGTGCCGGCCCTCTTCATCGGCTTCAGCAAGTTCTCGGACTCTTTCCTGCTGGATCAGCCGGACTTCTGGTGCCAGCAGGCCGACGGGCAGGGCAACTGGAGCGTGGCTCCCGGCCACGGCAACCGCAGCGGCAACGGCAGCATCTTCCCCCCGGCCGCTCTGCCCACCCCCGTTGTGGGAAACGCCAGCGAGTGCGATTGCCACGAGTGGCACTACCGCATCCGGGCCGGCCTCGTCCAGAACGTCGTCAGCAAGGTGAGCGGAGGGCTGTTGGGTCCCCGGATCCCTGCTCGCGTGGAACCGATCCCCCCCTTTCCCCTTATCCTGTCCCCATTGCTGCGTGGGTTTGTCTTAGTCTCGTGTCTTGAGATGGTGTTCTCAGCACCGTTTGTGTGCGTGTCTGGCTGTCCCAGAACGTGGGTCTGTCCCAGACAGGTGGCCATGGGAGGGCTGGGGCAGGGCGCAGGCAAGGTGCCTCTCAGTTCTATATGTGCCGTCAGAGCCAAGAGCCGGGCTGGTGCACAGGGAAACATGGTTCAGGGAAATGGACAAAGTTCTGCGAATGTCTCTCATTCTACAGTCACGCCCTTGATATGGTTTTCAATAGAGTAGTAAGAGAGGAAATGTCTCGTGTGAGTTGTATAGCTGTTCTGAGGTAGAAAGCTCTGTTTTCTGCTCCCTGTTGCAATGGCTAAAGTGGAAAAATTCTGATGAGGGAGGCTGAATCCTTCCTATATTCAAAAAGAAGCCCCATGTCTTCACCTTCTCAGGTTTTGCTCGTGCTCTGGCTGTGTGAAGGCTCTGCCATGGGCCTTGTGGTGTTAGCAGACAGCTCTTGAAAGCGCAGTGTTATCTGTAGCTCTTGGAAGTGCAGATTTAAGCTGTTACACCAGGAAAGTGGTTCCCCTTTGGCTCAAAACCCCCAAACTCAGCACAATTACTTCCTGCTAGAAGTGTGTTAGGGATTAGCTGTGCTTATCTGATTGGGAGAAAGCAATGCAGCAGTGACTGGGTGGCCGGTGTGCTCATGCTTTGCTCTGCCAGCAGGTGCTGTTATTAATCGTTGGAAATCATCATTTCTCTTTGTGTCCCTCGAAAGCGTGTGCAACACTGGGAAAACAAGCAAAGCCAATCCTCCAAAAACTGGAGTCCAGAATGGTTTTAAAACAAGCCTGCTGCACTCCTTCCATGAGGAAAGCACAGGCACATGGTGGATTTGGTTGGCTTGTGGCGTTAGAGCGCTTGATGAAATTCAGCATATAAGAGAAGCAGATTTCCTTCTGTTTATAACCAGAGATGGAATGATTCGTATGCTTTTTGGGCTTCACACAGATGCTGGAGCATAAAGAAATGATCTTGAAATATTTCCTTCTAGTGCAAACTGTAACAAAATTTTTTCTCAAAATGTTGGGGAACTTGTGAAGGTCATCATCACGTTGGCCTCAGATGGTTGAGAGAGAGTTAGTTTGCTATCTTGCACGCTTTCTTAATAATAATAATAATAATAATAATAAAGTGTTCTTTGGAAGAACTTGCGGCAAAGGGCAGATCAATTTTAATGGATAAATAAACAGCTGCGGTCCCTGCTGTCTTGTTTTCTACTAGAAAGAATAATAATCATCTTTAGAGACTCCGGGTTTTTTCAGTGTGGAGTTGCAGTGTGTTTGCTTCCAAAAACTTGGCAGCTTTTTCTCTTCAATTTCTAATCCCTTATAATTGTAATTAGGTTGTTTTTATGGGGTCAGGATTCCTCCCTAGCTTGTGTTTTTGTTCTCTTTGGGGCTTTCTGGGTGGGTGTGCTGTCTGTTTTCATCACAGTAAAGAAAAAGGAAAAACCCAAGCAGAGCCTCGGTGTATGGCTGAATGGACACCTTCTATAAACCACCAGGCACTCCTGAGGTGTGGGAGCATTCCTCATCACTGCCTACTCTCCTTGTGCGCGTCCCACCAGCCTTGGTGCAAAGGGACTTTGCTGGGGGATTGAGGAGGTGTTCCCATCCCAAGATATTCAGATCTCCCTTAACTCCTCTCAACTATACTTTAGTTTCTGTGAAAGATTATGCAATGTTCTCATCTTTCTAAATAGAGTTTTATTAAATCTTAGTCTAATACGCAGTCATCTGTGTCATAGCCAAGGGTTATATGAAAATATCGTAAACAGAGCCAAAAGTATATCAATAAAAAATGCACTTTTATTTGGCCACTAGGCCACTTTGTTCCTGTGGTAATGCATTGGAACAGGCTGCCCAAGGAGGTGGTGAAGTCACTGTCCCCGGAGGTGTTCAAGAACTGTGTGGATATGGCACAGAGGGACATGGGTTAATGTGCATATACATGATGGGTTGATGGTAGGTGATCTTAATGGTCATTTTCAACCTTGATGATTCTATTACTCTAAGTTCTGCTGTCTCCACATCCTCTCCTCTCATGGTACCTCAATCCAGTGCGGTGTCTCTGCCCTTGTTCTCTCAGCTGACCCATCCCTACATCACACTTGGGGCTTGTGGAGTTGTGATGCAGCCTTACTCGTTGTCTGGCTGCTCCCTGCTCTGACCCAGGAGGCTGCTGGAGCTGGTGGTGGCCTCATACTCCTTGGAGGCCAGCACTGCCTCACCTAGCTCTGCCATCGCCCTGCCCTCCTCCAATGAGTCACTGGGAGCGCTGCTTTTTATAGTGCTGCCAGTCATTAGAACTGGGAGAGGTAATAAAGGACGTGCTGCTCGTTATTTAATGCCGTTGAGATACATATAGCGAAGAGGTCAGGTGCGTAATTTAACCACAGGAATTCCAGTGGCCATATTAAATCATGGATCTGAGCTCATGCCCTGCCTTGATGCATAAATCTTGGTCTTGAGCTATTTCATGTGTAAATATTCCTAAGAGAGTATCTCTCTAGGAGAATTCTCTTGTGAGGCTTCTTAATGCTAAATGCTTCTTGGAAGATTTTCAGCTGTTCTTTGTCGCATCGTCACCACTGTCACATCACCACAGAGTGCACCCCTATCACTTGTGAGACACACATCCTGAACTGTCCTTCGGGCCACAAGCTAGCAAGTGAATCATGTGAACAGGCTGTGTCTCGCTGCTGTCCGGAGGATGGATGCCGAGAAATATTTCCTTCTTTTTTTTGAAAAGGAGAAAGCTGAGTCTCACTTTGGCTATTTGCAGAGTGGCCATTCCAATAAATTAACATTGACATAACAAGCAGCGTAATTACGTTAAATGTATATTGCTGTGCGGTGTATCGGGAAATTGGAGTGTGTACTTAGCAGGGACTTCTCCAGCCTTGTCACTCTTTAATGGCTGCATCTTCTATCAGTCTGCAAAGCCAGCTGTACTCCTGGGGCGAAGTTTTCAAGGCAGTGCGTAGTTATGGGGCTGATGGCTGTTGCTTTTCCCTTTGTTACCAAGATGACCAGTCTGCTGTGTTCAGTATTGTTGTGTGGTGGTGTTTTGAATGCTAATCTGCATAATGGACACCAAGAGCTGGCAATGGGCAATGACCGAGGTTTGATTAAATTGCAGTGGATGGTAATGCATCCCTCCATGCGCGCTCGTGGCATTCCAGATCAGCAGTGCAGGGCCAAGTGGTTAGTTGGAGGCTGCTTTTTAATCATCTAGAACAATTATGTAATAGTATTTCACGTCTGGTCACATGGGAATTCTTGTTGTGGCTGCTTTTCTGTTCCGGATGCTTTGTTTTGCTGCAGTGCTGTTCCTCTTGGCTCTTTGCTTCCCACTTGATTTGGGTTGAATCATCTTCCTTCACAAGGAACGTGCCATGATTTTACCTACTTGCTGCTGGCTTGATCTTTTTCATTCCAGTTGGGCTGGGCCTCCAGCAGATTGTCTTCCCTAGAAAAGGGGAGCTTAATTCAGGGGAACCCCTGTGGTCCAGCTGTGAGAATGGGGCAGTGCTGTCTTGGTGGGGACCTGAGTTAGTTCAAGCAGTGGTGTGATGCTCTTTGCCTCTGCAAGGGCATGTCTGTGCCCTGCCAGGTTCTATTCCCTTATCTTTCTTGCAGTTATGGCATTTTTCTGGTCTGGTCTTTTGTTGTTTTGTCTTGCTAATCTGGCAGAAATTTAAATTTTTTAATTTTTTTTTTTTTTTTAAATCATCATTTTCTTTTTTCCTCTTGAGTTTTTTGCTGAGTTAATGAAGTGAAATGGCTCTGGGTGTTGCCTCATGCCCTGGGCTGCAGTGATGTCTTACAGGATTACTGCAGGTAACTGCAAGTAACCTGAATGGTTACAACACAAATCTGCATGTGATAACAGCGAGAAATTTGGCACTGCTCATGGCTTGGTATTTTTTGGAGTAGGAGACAGGTGTGCATTTCAAGAGCACTTTTAGAACACAGTTATTAATTCAAAGGGATCTCTGGCAAGGTCCTTCCCAAAAGGAGCAGTGACCAAGCTTTGGCTCAGTGCCTATGGGGTCTCATCCTTGGACATACTCAGAAGCTGTCTGGATGTGGTTTTGGGCTCCCGGCTGAGTAGCTTCTACTTAATCCCAAATCTATTAAACTCTCAAGTTATGGTACCCAATGCAGTAGCTGGGCCAGAGGCAATAAGATCAAAACTAGTGTATTCCCTTTGCCCATGTTTGCCTTGTATGGATTGAGGGGGGGAAAAGGGAAGCAGAGCGTCTAATGATGCTTTCCACTTACCGGGCTGCTAACGAACGCCATCTTAAGACAAGGCGTGAATCTATGTGCATTCTGGCTGAGCAGAGTGCAGGATGTAGATGGCTGTTTTGGTCGCAGCACCCACATTTCCCAGTGTTGGAGCTGTGCTGAGCTGGCTTTGCCTGCAAACAGTGCGTTATCATATGCTGATGTATGTGATAACTAACTGTCATTTCACTGGATGATAAACACGTTCCTAGTGAGCTCACACGTTGTTTTTCTTTTCTTCTGGGGGGTGCTATGTACACACAAAATACTTTCAAGCAATTGGTGTAGAAAACGACAACTACATTAAAATCGATATTGCCACCAGGACTCATATAGACTTTCGGTGTGGGTTTGCTGTGCTAGAGAGAATGTGTATAGAGTTAATGTTTATTATCAGCTTGAAGATAGTGTCTTGGATACTGGAATCTGATTTCAACCTACTGTAAATTTTTGCTTCTACAAATGGCACAAACTATAACTCCACATTACAAAATCTTCACACCATTCTCAGCTTGAGAAATCAGACTGATTCTTGGACCTTTCCTATTCCTTATTTTCTGTGAGTGTGTGAAACCACTG